CGATTTGGGAGCCGTTGTGTTAGCTATCTCCTTACGGGTAGTGGAGAGAGCAGAAAGAAAGAACGATCTGATCATGCTTACCGAAAAGGATCAGCTCGTCTCAGCAGACGAAGAGAAGATTAAAACGGTGGGACGAATGAATAACGTTGCCTTTTGATTAGGGAAGGTACATGCGTTGGGAGACGTCGTGGTTCTAGATGTCAATACTTACGACGTACTTTTTGACCTTCCTGCCCTGGTAGCACTGCGCGCCAATCTGGACTTTGAAAGACGATCGATTGTCCTCCGAAATACGGGGGGAAAACCCTATGTTATACTGATGAGACTAACTCTTCGTACTACCGCTAACATAGCCCCGCGAGTTTCTCCCACGATGACGGGGACTCTTCGTGTGATTACCTGGGACAACGGGCAGACATTCAAAGACGAGGACAACAGTGATGATGACGATCCAGTCATCCTGGAGATGGCGCAGCAAGGTATTCACTATCCCGTGCAACAGACAAATGTAGAAGCCTTGAGCCGGACTAGCCAAGATTTGCAGGGAACACAAGTAATGATTATGGGAGAACCTCTCGTACAGATTTCGAGGATGGTCGATTCTTTGGAACCGAACCCTGTACGAAGGAATCTCGCCTCTGCTCGCACGATATGAGGACAAAAAACATTATTGCGACATCACGAATCTTCCACGATCTCTTTTGACATCTGCAAAAGAGATTCGATTGTTACGCTTAGGGGCAGAGACCAACTCTTTGGAACCCCCTGAGCGCCTCGAAAACGGACTCAGGATCAAGATCGCAACGAAACCTGTATCGTGGCAATACATTCGAGACGGAGTAACACTGGAGGAACACGTGGCCATTTGAGAACAAGATGCACAGATGATGGCCACGGTGTGTTCCTTGCGATCGGATAACTCATTCATCTTCACGCCCCCGCCAGAAAACACTAAGCGGGTGAATACAAAACACATCGATGTAAGGATATGGGATGAGTTGTATGAGTTACACGTACCCCGATACGTACCTGAGGAGATCCACCACCTAATCGCAGATATTCTAAAGGAATACAAAGGAGCGATTAGTGTGACGGACACAGACATTGGACTGTCGTTAGTCATACAGCACGAGATCCAGACGGGAAACCATTCCCCAATTCACTGCAAAACTTACAGATATTCCCTGGTAGAACGGAAAAAGGCTCTCGAGCGGATTCGAGAGTTTGAGCAAGCGGTTGGATCGAACCCTCCACCGGACCATGGTCGTTTCCGGTAGTATTAGTACTGAAAAAGAATGGATCGATTCACATATGCATTGATTATCGCAAACTGAATGACATCACGATCAAAGATGTGTACCCCCTCCCTCGGATTGATGATTTGTTGAATGCGATTGGGTGTGCTAACTACTTCAGTAAGCTTGATATTCGGCATGGCTTCCATCACATTCTGGTCAAGGAGAAAGATCGGTCGAAGACGGCCTTCGTACTGTTTGAAGGCACGTGGCAATGGGTTCGGTGCCCAATGGGGATTTGCAACGAGCCCGCCACGTTTCAGCGGGCCATGAATGTCACGTTTCAGAACTTCGTCAATAAGACGCGGTTAACACAGGGAATGATAAACTTCTGCTTCATCGTATACATGGACGACATCCTGGTTTATTCGGAGACCTATCACGGGCATGCACAACATATCGAGTGGACGTTGGGTGCTATGAAAGACGCTGAATTCAAGACCGGGCTCGAAAAGAGCGAATTTTTCCTTTCGGAAATCTCGTTCTTGGACTACGTCGTGACACGTGGAGGACTGCGGCCCGACTTGAGAAAGGTCGCGGCGGTGAAGGAAGCTCTTGTCCCCACGTCACTAATGCAGGTTCAAGCCTTCTTGGGGTTAGCCTCGTACTATCGTCGTTTTATCAAAGGCTTCGCCGCGATTGCACGACCCTTAACGAACCTCTTACGAAAGGACCAGCCCTCAGTTGGGACGCAGAGTGCGAACGGACCTTCCGGACCCTCAAGGACGCTCTGGCAACGACACCTATTTTGATCCGGCCGGACCGCGCGAAGCAGTTCATTTTCATCACGGATTGGCAGCCGGAGGCTATTTCCGCTATCTTAGCGCAGAAGGGGAACGACGGTCGCGAACACGTCATCGAATATGCGTCACGAATGGTGCCAGACGAGCGGAGAAACGACTCAGCCCCACAGGGCGAATGCTACGCAGTAGTGTGGGGAATCCAACACTTCCATCCGTATCTGTACGGACGAAAGTTTCTCCTTGTCACCGATCACGAGCTCTTGCTAGCGCTGAAGTGACTCACTAATTACACGGGCATGATTCGACGTTGGGCAGTGCGCCTATAGGAATACGACTTCGACATCATCCATCGAAAGACGGAGAGGCACGACAACGCGGACGGACTGACACGTCTGCATCGACCAGCTAAAGTGCCTAAGGCGGAAGAGATCATCCCGTGGAAGGAACCGGAATCGGCAAACGGACCGAAGTACGAACAAGTTGCAGTCCTTCCACGTGGCAAGAAGCAGGCAGGTGGCCATGGGTGACGGAGGTAACCCTACCACTCCCCTCTCCCCCCTCTCCTCCTCATCTCTCCTTTCCCTGCCTGATAAATCTTGTTATTTTTGCAAAGCAATTTCTTGCGTATACTCGGTCTCTATGCGCCCTAGTGGGGAAGGATATGTGGAATGGGTAGGCTATCGACAGTGTGTCGCACGAGCCCATGGCTCGTGCATCCAATACCGAAATGACAGTAAGCCTAAGCTGTGCCCCTTGTGTCGGGTTGACAAGATCCTGACCGAGGCTCGCTTTTTAGATGCCACATCAGAAGGGTTAGAGAAGATCCGAAAGTTTAGGAGGGCCGAAGTATGGACGAATATTGGCTTGATTGCCACCCTAGTAGGTAACCCCCTCCAGGACTTCACCAAGGAAGATCGGAGGAGGGCCAATGAAACGGCTCGGGACTACCGCTGGAATGAGGGACGGTTGGAAAAACGGAAAACGGATGGTAGTGCCGCACCCGTTCATGAGGTATGACTGGGTGAAGACAGAGCATGAGGAAACGGCTGCCCATTTTCCCATACGGATTACGGAGGCGGCAATCGACAAAAATGAGTGGTATTGGTCCAATATTCGCGACGATGTGAAGTTCATCGTCGTGAATTGTCAGGTCTGCTCTGCGGACAAGGCGCCGATTCAGCCGCCAAGATCGATAGTACCGACGGTAGTTGAACGGCCTTTTCAAAGGGTTAGCATGAATACTACCGATATTGTGGTGCCCCCTGGACCCAATAGCTGTGAATTTTCAATCCTACTCGTATTCGTGGACCATTTTTCGAAATGGATCGAGGCGTATCCCTGTCGTACGCGACAGGCGGCCGAAATTGCGCGATACGTCAATCGATTTTTAGGGATGCACCAGGACACGGAGGAAATTTTTACCGATAATAGGGTAGAATTCAGGGGAGAAGTCTTGAGGAATCTGGTCGTACATGGCGTCACGATTCGGAACACTATGCCCCACATATCGCAATCTAACAACCTGGTAGAAAACACAAATCGAGTGATAAAGACTGCGCTACGATGAAATATTGCGGCATGGGATCCGAGGCCCTGGCCCGATATCGTAGATCACATTTTGGCGGTCCATCACGGAACGCCTCACGAATCGACGGGCCTAAGCCCGTTCCAATTACGGACCAATAGTGTGGTCTGCGTTTCGATACCGAGCCTCCCGGATGAGTCGTCTTTTAACTGACGGCCTACGAGAGCCACGGTTCAGGACAAGGCCAAGCGACACATAGAACTGATGGAAAGGTCCCTGCCCCGATTAGCCCGAAAATGCCAGAAAATGAACGAGTTGGCCCACGACCGACAGGTTCGCAGTTACGAGGCCCGGAACGGGAACGAGGGCCCGTGGCCCCAGTATAAATTAGGGGACTTGGTGCAGGTGAGGAAACGTGCTCGCCAAGGGAAGATAGACCCACGATTCTTCGGGCGATTTCGAGTGATCGAGCTCGGCCCGAACGGGGTGAACACGGTGCGTCTCGTGCCAGAAGTCTTAGGGAGCCGATCGACTCGGCCGATCGTACGTCACGTGTCCTATCTACGTCCCCTCCCTTCCTCCCCATCTCCAGCAGCGTCATCTTCCTCCTCCTCCTTCGCTACGGAAGAAGACAACGACTCTCCATCGCTTTCTTCCTCCCCTGCATCTCTCGCCTTTTCCTGTACTCCGTCTCTGCCACCAGCGCCATGAGTTTTCTCACGGAGCGAGCTCTCGGCGATCATCTGCTAGCGCCACATGGTTACATCTCGGCAATCCGACAAGTTCATCATCCGCGCTTCAGTCTGGATCTTCTACGGCTTGCGCAGTTCTTCTGTACCACAGGAGTATTCGCGGCAGCAGAGTTCCGATTCGCGAGTAATCGTCAGGCGGTTGTGTTGGCGGAAGCGGTAGCTGTCCATCGGCTGTCGGCCCTGGGGGTTAGCCATGTGTCTACCGTCGTTTCCTTCAGCGGCGATATTAGCACGATCAGCCCGCTGTGGCATACGGCGATCCGAACGTCACTAAGAGAGTGGGGACAACAGTTGGTTGTGGAGTGGAACCACTGGCTCACGCGCCACGAGGATGTCCATACGCACGACATCGAACTCGGTGGGATTCGAGCGTCCCAGCACAAGCTGGCGGTGGTGCTTCCGGAGCTCATCCCCTTTCAACGTCCCCAATGAACCGCTCGCAACTCTCCACCTTCGCTCTTCCATCTCTCTTTCCCGCCTTCTGGCAGTCTAGTCTTCACCCTCGTTTCTCCTTCTGTCTGGAACCGCTCGCTGTCCCCCTTCTCGATCCTAGGAAGTGGGAGCTGTGGCGCGAACATTTCATCGATCTTTCAGTGTGCCTGGTCGGGGTACGGCTCACGTGGACAAGGGACGAGGAGCACCGTGCTTGGAGTGAGTACCTGGAGCTTCTGATCATCCAGGCCTGGCAGACGTAGGTGGAAGGCGATCTTCTTGGATTCCTGTTCGGATTGGTGCGGCCCGACCATCGCCAACTGATCGTGTAGGAACTCATGGTTCCTCTTGCGCAATTGGTTGATGATCTTCCCCTTGATATCGTCTCACAGAGCGACGAGAGCCCGGTCCCACACGTCCTCACACGAACTCTGACGTCGTACGTTCAGTGGTCAGCGTGCCCGGAGGAGTCGGGAAGCGGCCACAACCCGCCATCGCAACGAGGATATCTGGACCCGCGGGAGATAGTCGACCTCGCTTTCTTCTGGGATCGAACAGTCTCCGAAGACGAGAAGCTAGCGATAGAAGAAGAAGCGGAAGAAGAAGAAGAAGGTGCAAAGGAGGAAGAAGAGGAGGAAAAAACACCGGAAGAAGGCAGTTATAGTGAACACAGCGAGGGAGAGCAGAGTGAGGACGAAGAAGAAGAAGAGGAAGACGAGGAAGAGGAAGAGTTGGAGCTGGAAGAATCCGAGTGGGAAATCTCGGCGGAAGAGGTGGAACGAACGGACGCTCAGGCGGAGGACCCCGATGCGGCACGTAAACCGGAAGACATTGCGGTCGGAAAGCGACAGCTGGAATTCGCAAGCGGAGCAAATCTGCCGATCGCCAATGATCCCGCCAAAGATCCGGAGCCGCCCAAACCCGAAGATGGGGACCCAGCTGCCGAGACTTTGAGCGCACCGGCCAGACGGCGACGAAGCCGATCCCCCTCCACCTCCGACCGTCCACCAGTTCGAGCCCGTACCGATGCGGGCCATCGGGCTTCGTCCCCTGTCCTTATCCCGTCGTCCCCTTGATCACCTCACCCTCCGCCAGATCACCACCCACGTCACCTTCCCCCGTAATCCCTTCCCGATTGATACCTTCCGATTTTTCTACGCCACCCGACTTGTTGTCACTGTTCATCCCCACCCCTCGACCCGGTGTGCTCTCCCCGACTTCTGTCTTCATGCCCTCCTCTTCAGTGCCGCGTGGCGAGGCCACAATATCGTCGAGGTTTATTGCACGATCACGGGGACTATCCCCGCATGTGAGAACCACGATCGATTCCCCGCGGCACTCTTCCGAACCTTCGCCACCCTCTACCCTGACTATCTCGCCTCCCTCCCTCACAGTGGTAATCGATTCCCTCGCTTCCACCGGATCGTCCGATATCAGGAGCTTCCGGAGACAGTCGAGGGATTGGAACGCTTTCTACCCCCACTTCCGACCAACCCACCCCCTCGCCATGCCCCCATGTATCGTCTTCCCTTTCCCCTTCCCTTAGGACATTGATGCTTGGTTGATTAGTGCGTGCCACGACGATGGCACAAATAATCCCCTCCTTGGATTGAAGAAAGCCCCTCCTAAGGAACTCGTAGGACAGAGCCTCGTATGCCACGTTGGATGACGTCCACACTCCTTCACACGGTAAGTGACAACGAAAAGCTCCGCGTGTCGATCGATTAGAGAAATCGACACGTGTCATGATTCAAGCAAGCAGGAACTTGCTTAAGATTGGAACCCCGTGGGCGTCACATATGTGACGAACCGATTTCTGTTTCGCGCGATTTTCTGCGCGATAACAATGAAGGGTCCTAAGCTGGGAAGGATGGGCCAATTACGGAAGATCGGGATTGAGGGAGAATTGCATTAGTGTCCTCGCTTTTTCGTATTTTCTCTTTCGTCGCTTTTTTTCGGATGGCTGGATTCAGGGCCAGGCAAGTCCTGGGATGATTGATTGGGTGGTTGTCGCGCCGACCAGGCGCGATTAATAACGGTTCACGTCGCTTCTTTTCTGTGCTGTTGTCGGATTTGGGCGCGTAGGTCGCGCGAGAATTTTGTTTCGTTCTTTTTGAATTTCTTTTTTCGAATCTTGTCGAGCGCTTGACGGCTCTCGGAACTTCGGATTTTCTTTTCGGAATTTGTGCTTCCTTTTCCATTAGCTAGAAATTTAGGAATTTAGGAATTTAGGATTTTCTTTTGCCGCACAATGCTTTTTGCTTACGTGCTTTTTTTAGCGGCTGCAACGGAGCTCTGATTAGTTGGCGCCCTTAATCGTGTGTGTAACTGTAATTTTGGGCGGGCGCCATTGTAACTGTATCTTTTTTCTTGGACTTTATTTTTTCTGCTCTCACTTTTTCTCTTGCTGTGTCTAGCTAGCCCGCGGACTGCATGCTCGGATCGATGCGTGGAGAGAGGCTACGTCCCCCACGCCACGATCTGACCATGCAGAACGCAGACGCTCCCTCTCCTAATCTCCTTTCTAAGTCCTTGCAATTTCGTGTTCTTCGCGCATGCATGCACGCTATAAATTCTGGCTGTGCGATTAGATAGCTCTCTTAACCAGTTGTTGGAAGCTCGGGGAGCGTGATCAGTGAGGGTCAGCTCGCAAGCGAAGTAAGAGGTGAGTTGAAGTGGGAGTCGGGCGACCCGACGAGCTGGTGCCGAATGCGCGGGGTTGACGCGTGGGGCTACGATGGACTGTAGCGCGCGGGCGAACCTGACGAGTGCAGGAGGACTAAGCGGGGTGACGACTTCGTGGGTTGGTGCGTGACGATGGACTGTCCGCATCGGAGAGAGAGAGAGAGAGAGGAAGAGAGAGAACTGAGGTTGATGGACGTGGATTTGTAGTTTTCTTTGTCTTTTCCCCCTCCTTGCTTTTGTATATAAATTTTGATTTCGGCTCATGGCGACTCACCCGTTTTTCTTTTGTCTTCGGAATCCTTATCTTGGTTTCAGCCCACACTCATTTTGCGATTGATCGTGATCTCGTTTGTTGTGTGCGTGTTTTATCGAATGAATGGATGAATGAATGTCATGTCTGATGCGTTTCCTTTTGCCTGATCCTTGCCTTTGCTTGTCGTTTTGATGCACTCATGAGCGTAGTAGGAATTTTTGCGTAATCGTCAATACTGCATTACTGTTTATCCTCTTTTGAGCTACTGTTGTTACTGCGATGCCTAATAGCACCTTGCATGCTCATGAACGATTGCG